AATGTCACCTTTAGTGTATCTTTCTCTCCCAAATGTTACATTTAAAGTTTCTGGTGGAAAAGAAGTTATAATGCAGTACTAAAATCCCTCCATCTCAGGCTAGAACATATTTCACATTTTCATCTGTGACTTTCAGTTTCCCCTTGATTGTTTCTAGGGTGGGTTGCACAGTATCTTCGTTTTCTCCTATTTCTCTCCTGGAATCGCTGATGCCTGGCCGTCCACTCCTTTCTTAATTATGTGGAAAATATTCACTTATTTTTGTTTACCCATTTCATTTTTGGAAAATTACTTTTCCCTCTTTCATATCCCACATTCATTTCCCAGGACATCACCAACCGTCAGCAGCCAGTACTTTCAATAAAAAGCACCTAACTGCTTTCAATAATAAACATTTATGGGTTAAACAAATGGGAAGCTGGACAAAGAATAGACTTCGAATCCACTGTGGTTACAAGCAGGCCAGAAAATCAAAAACAAACTAATAGCAACCAAATTTAGCCCATGGGCTCATGGGGGGTAGGAGTGGGGGAGGAAGGACTCTTCGGGTTGTTTTAATTCTACTTGGCAATTCGGCATCACTTTCCCTTTGGGGTCTTGAGAGTGATTGGGTTCCAGTGTTCGAATTGGAGGAAAGTGCTAAGCACAACACCTCTCCCTCCCTCACATGCACCCCCTCAGCTTAAGACTGTAGGACACAATAGCATAACAGGCACCCTGCAGCCCTTGCTCAGGGGGCTCAATTCAGCCTTTGTACCTCCTCCTTTCATCTCTCTCTCAACAACCCATGTCACAACTGGCTGCCTTTCTATACATTCTCACATTCTTGTATCCTGTGAGCTAGTTCTTCTGAAGCGTGTTCTCTGAGTGTTTGCAATACCAAGACTCGAATCATTTCATTCTCTTATGTTTCATTTATGTGTGTGTGTGTGTATGTGGTGTGCTGTGTTTTGGCGGGATATCTTCGAAAACCTTTGAGGGGTTCGCATATACAGTGTGACTGCAAAAAACAAAGAAATAAGTTTGATTTTTAACCACGCTAATTGCAGCAGGCACGAGTGAAGGCCTAAGCTAGACCCTGAAAAATGGGCTACACTGTCCCGAAAAGTACTCAGACCCTGGTCTGACTCCTTCACTCAGAGTCCTTAGGGACCTTGCCTGGGAGCCCCAGTCGGGGAGTTCCTGGTTAGTCAGGCCCTGGCTCACTCAGGATCTTCTGGGGTGTCACTAGTATTTTCTGCCTTGAAGTCCTTCCTGGCAGACACCAAACATGCCCCAGAGCACTGCGTTCTGGTTGTTTCTTTTGCTCCTTCAGCCTGAGAGGGCCAGCCTCGGGCTTGGTGTGTCGATTTATTAAGCAGTGCAGTGGAGTCCGTTCTGACCCTACTATATACAACAGAATGCAACACTACCTGCTCCTGCGCCATCCTCATAATTGTTTTCATGTTTGAGCCCATTGTTGCAATCACTGAGTCAAGGTGTCAGTCCATCCTGTCAAGGGAAAGCCTTGAGCCCCTGGAAGACACAGGCCTACAAGAGAATGTTTTGTTTGTACCCAGATACATTTCTGGAACACTCCTCCCCAAATCCAAAACGAAGCAAGAGATGTGAAACAGGAATGACTGCTTGTCAAATCACCCACCCCCTGACTGTCCGGGAACCCTAACTTCTGGGCGAAGGGTTCCTGGCTCCAAGATAAATGCCCAGGGAGAATTTACAGGCAGCTTGTCCCCCAAGGTGTGTGGTTTGAAACCACTTTCTACTCTTGCCAAGAGTCACAGTCTTCGGAACCCACAGGGTTAGTTCTACTCTGTCCTTGGGGTCGCTATGAGGCAGTGAGTCCCTGTCGCTAGACCACAGACTCCAGGCAGGCAGCTCCCTTTCCCTGTCTCTTCTTTTCCCACTCACCCAGCGCACCTCCCTTCTTTCACTTCTCAAGACCTGGGCCAATTCCCGGAGTCGTAGCGGGAACTGGGATCCACCCTGCGCCCCCTGAAGTCGCTGACCCCTTTGGACGCATCGAGTTAAGCCGGCGCCGGAGCGCGACCGCACGTCTGAGGCTGGCGAGCCCCTGGAAGTTGCGCTTCCACTTTGCAGCTCGCGGCGCCGCCGGAGGCGAGTCCATGTGTGATGCCAACTTCACCCAGCCAAACTGGCGGAATGATCTCGACGCCCCCAGCGCGGACCGGCGGACCGCGTAGAGGACTCCCAGTCCTGGAGGGACCCAGGAGGTGCCGGGAGAGGTAGGGGAGATGATTCCGCCCCCCTTCCTTCCGCAAACTCACCTTGGGGACCAGTGCCCCCCAGCGCAGCCTGCGGTGCAGAAATACGCGGAGCCGGGCCGGGGCGACAGGGGGCGACAAACTGCGCCTGGCGTGTGGGGACGGCTGAGGCGAGCGCGGGGCGTCAGCCCGGGCGGCGCTGGCGC